AAATTGGCTGGAGACCACATTCCATCTTGAAATGATGCAAATGATGGATTAGAAGTCATTTTAAAAAGAGGAACAAGGGATGTTCTACAGGGAGATAATCCTATCTTCCCTCTTTGACACTGTAACCATTTTCTCTAAATTGAAAGCTCTGAGTTTATTAGCAATGACTTCCTTAGCTTGTGTAAAGAAATTCAAGCATTTCATGTTTCCCTATGTGCTAATTAAAAGGGCTTCATTTAAATGGGGCAGTGGTCCCGATACCAGTGATAACTAATTAGGATCATAAAGTGTTGAACCTGAAGGGAATTTATTTAATCAATTCCTTTCATCTTTTAGGGGAGGAAACAAGCTGGTGTGGTGACTTGTCACACTTCAGGGACCATAGCTACAGCTCCGCACCCCACTTGGTTCACAGTTGTTCAGCATCAAGAAAATCAGTAGCTGGATACGCTGCAGACCACCAACATGGTAACAGGATTAGACTTCAGTTGTATATATGCTAAGCCTATAAAAGGAAAATAAAATAGCTCTCTGTCCTAAAGATAAGATCAAGGATGCTTTGGAGGCTGGCAGAGGAGCCCTATGACCCTGCTTGGGCTCCCAGGTATAGTAGTGTCTGGTGAAATCTTGCCATGAACCATACATGATGTTCAATACTTAATCATGAGTCTGCAGAGTCATATTATAAGCCTTATAAGACCTTCAGTTTATACACAGACACAAATAGGACTTGCAAGTGACTTTTCCAAGGTCCTACACCAATGCCAGTTATTGGTAACCCAGCTAGCATTTGTAGTAGGCCTTTCCAGAGAGCAAACTATGTTCTAGAGATGACAATTGAGTAGAAACCCTTCTGGAAAACATTAGTGACTGTTAAGGTCTCTTTGGGAGCTTGTTTGTGCTTTTAGACTGACTTATGTTGGCATACAGAGTCTGAGGGGAACTGATCTCTAAGTTGTGCTAGACTTGATCATAAATTCTACCTCCAATGCTTTGGTCAGAAAAAGTTAGCCTGGGCTCATATTGACTTACATACTGAATGCAACATCCATAAAGTGTCTTACTTAGGGTTCTATTGCTGTGAAGAGACATCATGACCACATCAACTCTTATAAAAGGAAACACTTAATTGGGGACTGGTTTACAGTTCAGAGGTTTAGTCCATTACCACCATGGCAAGAAGCATGGTGGAATACAGGCAGAAATGGTGTTGGAGAGGGGCTGGGAGTTCTACACCTGAATTCTCAGGCAGCAGAAAGAAGAGTGAAACACTAGGCCTAGGTCGAGCTTCTAGAACCTTAAGACCCACCCCCACAATGACACACTTCCTCCAACAAGGCCACACCTACTCCAACAAAGCCACACCTCCTAATAGTGCCACTCCCAATGGAGGCCATTTTATTTTTTCATGTTTTTATATGTGTATATATGTTTTTAATATGCTTATATATTGTATGTATTTTGTTATTTATATAGCATTTTTTCATTTGTTTTACATACCAACCAGTTTCTCCCCCCCTGCTCTCCTCCCACCCCCTTACCTTTTTCCCACCTACCCTCTCCCCATCCACCCCTCCTCCATCTCCATTCAGAAAGGAGCAGGCCTCCCATGGGCTTGCACAAAGCATGGCACATCAAGGTGAGGCAGGGCCTAGCTCCTCCCCTTACATGCCAGGCAATCCAGCATGAGGAACAGGTTACCAAACGCCAGCTAAGCACCAGGGAGAGGTCCTGCTCTCACTGTTAGAAGCCTTACTAAGAGACCAAGCTACAAGATTGTCACACACATGTAGAGGGCCTAGATGGTCCCATGCAGGCTCCCTGACTGTTGGTCCAGTGCCTATGAGTTTCCAGGAGCTCAGGTCAGCTCTCCCTGTGGGTTCCCCCATCAAGACCCCTGGCTGGTACAATCCCTCCTCCCTTTTTTCCACGAGACTCTTGGAGCTCAGCTCAGTACTTGTCTGTGGATCTCTGCTTCCATCAGTTACCAGATATAGTATCTCTGATGGCAATCTGCTTACAGTAGATGGCTTGTTCAGGCACCCTCTCCACTATTGCTAGGAATCTTAGTTGGAGTCGTCCTTGTGGGCTTCTGGGGGTTTCTCTGGCACCAGCTTTCTCCCTAGCTCTGAAATGACCCCCATCAATACATCTCTTTTGTTACTCTCTCCCTCCATCCTGCCTCCAACTTGCCTCCTGCATCCAGCCTGCTCAGTCTGCTCCCTCAAGTTCGCTCCATCCCTCCAATTCCATCCCCAGTTTACTCAGGAGATCTTTCCTACTTCCCCTTTCCAGGGAAATCCATGCACCTTCTTTGGGCCCTCCTTGTTATCTAGCTTCCCCGTGGCTGTGGATTGTTGGTTGGTTATCCTATATTTTACTCCTAATAACCATTTATGAGTGAGTACACACTATGTTTGTCTTTCTGGGTCTGGGTTACCTCACTCAGAATGATTTTTTTTCTAGCTCTATCCATTTCAAGATGTCATTGCTTTTTACAATGCTCCATTGTGTAAGCTCCATTGTGTAAGCTCCATTGTGTAAATGTACCACATTTTCCTTATCTATTCTTCGGTTGAGCGGCATCTAGGTTGTTTCGTGTTCTGGCTATGGAATAATGCTGCTAGGAACATAGTGGAGCCAGCATCTGTGTGGTACGATTGTGCATCCTTTGGGAATATGCCTAAAATTGGTGTAGCTGGGTACTGAGGCAGATTAGTTCCTGTGAGGGCCATTTTCATTCAACCACCACTGAAAGCTAAAGTTGTGAGGGCCGGAGCTTCGGTGCAACCCGTAGAAGGGAGAACCAAAGTTCTGGTTTGTGTTTTGTTTACGCTCTGCCATAAATGGTGGGAAGCCAGGGGGTAAAGGTGGCAGGTTTGCACAGGACCTAGAAATTCTAATTCTCTTTGACCGGATCCATGTTTGACTGCTTTATGGGTTGATTACATGCCTTGCTTAGTCAGATAACACTGATAAAGTGCACATTTGTGGGGGAAAGAGGACACAAAGGACCTGGATCTGGATGAGTACAGAGAGGTCACGTGTAGGATCCCACCTGCCCAGGAAGCCAGTTAGATGTCTGCCGCTTGTCTCAGGGACTTGCAAATATACGTCTTGCTGACATGGTTTAGATAGCAAGTATTTCCCACGACAGCCTACTCCAGCACCCCCAAAGGACTTGTGTTGAAGGCTTGGCCCCCAGCTGGTTTCGATATTGGCAGTGGATCATAAGCGAATGATGCACTGATCCGTGCAGAGCTGAATGGGCTCTTAGAAAGTGGGCCTGGTTCGTGCAGAGCTGAATGGGCTCTTAGAAAGTGCGCCTGGTTGAAGGATGTAGGTCGGTGGGAGTGTCTGTGAAGGTGTGTTTTTTCTTCAGACATCTTCCCTTGTGCTTTCTGCTCCCTGGCTGCCAGGAGGAAAGCGGCTCTCTCCACCTTGCCCTACCACAATTGTGATTCTGCTTTATCTCAGGCTTCAAATCAGCAGAAGCAACCAACCACAGCCCGAATCCCCAGGAGTCATGAGCCAAATCAGCCTTCCGTCCTTTAAGTTGTTTTTGTCAGATGTTTTGTCACCGTGACAGAAAGGTCACTAACACATACACAGAACACAAACCAAAGTTACCGATGTGTTTGGGCTCAAGTTGACGGGTTGCTTTGGTGTCACAAGCATGCATGGAACCTAACTCCAGGCAGACTGGGGACTTGAATGGTTTATGCAGCAACAACCCAGAAAGGGTTAAGGTGCAGCTGGTTTCAGGGATGAATGGCCGTGGTAGATCCCAATCCCAGGTCAAGAGCCACAGCCCTTTTCTATGTCCTATCTTCTTTTTGTGCACTTGCTTATTTGAAATGTCTGAGACCAAAGCTTTCCATAGTTTCTCTTCCTCTCCTCTGGAGAGCTGCAGGCGCCCTTCTTACATGTTTTCAATGGGAATCTTCAGATTAGGAATGACTGGCCCTGCCCCCCTTCCCCCAGCCCATCATGTGACTGAGGGTGGTCTTAGAAGTGGGTGCCAACTCCTATTTCCCACACTAGGTGGGGCAGGCAGTAGACTGCAGTCCTCCTAAAGGAAGGCTCATGGAAGGTTGCTGGGTGGTATCTTAGAAGTGGAACAGTAGCCTCCCTCACAGATTTTTCTACTGCAGAAAAGGTCAAAATGTGATTCTATGATTAAAATGCTTTTTATTACAGAACTAAAAAAGGGACCGAGAGGGAAATGAAGTCATCATTGGTTTTACTAGGAACAAAGCAGGACTAACATTGACTGTCCTGGTGGCCGGAGAACTGGCATTTTGACAACCCCTGGCGTTGAAAAAAATGTAACCCCTGGAAGCCAGTTCTGGAGAGACCCGAAATCCTCCAGTCAAACCATCTCCCAGGGGCGCTACTCATAGGGGAATGGGGGGCTGCTCCTCTCTGTGACTTAACAATCATGGCTCTCAAGGTAGAAATGATAGCGGCCACATGTCAAATCTTAGACATTAGTTATTCTGAGAGGCAGTTACTCCAAAAATCCAGATTTAACTTAGGGACCAGGCTTTAAAAGAAACAAAACTAAGGCTCACATTTGCAAAAGAAATGGCTAGGCTACCTTCTCTCATGCTGTTCCCATCCAACACATGCAAACATCTACAGAGATGGCCGGCTTTAGGATAAGGCCGAGAAAAACGAGCCCCTTGTCCTTTTGAGTTGTGCTGTGGTCAGAGGAACGGGTTGTTTCAAGCCCTGCTTAGGTTCTGCCCTACCGTTCTCCCCCACCCTCCATACCAGCCCGTTGTCCAGAGCTCTCTCTCCAATCAGGCACACCGAGCTCCAGATCTACAAGCAGGGGAGGGGGCCACCGACTCCTTGTCCCCTCTGTCGCCTGCATGGCGTGGGAGCCCACACCCTAGCCCCCTCTGATTTCACCCGGGCGGCCGACCCGCGCAACAGCTGCAGGTAGCAGGAGTGCCCCGCCCCGTCGGGCCGCGCGGCTGGGACGCCGCCCCTCGCCAGGCTCCCGGGCGCACGGCGGGCAGTGACCCGCGCAGGTAGAGCTCGGCGCGGCCCCGAGACGGCCTGGCGGGATGGGGCGGCCGGGGGTTCGTCGCCTCGTGCTGCTCGCCGCCTGCCTGGAGCTCTGCGGGCCGCGCGGGGCGCTTGGAGGTACGAGCCCCAACTTCCCTTCTCCGCCCGGGGCAGGCCAGGCCAAGCTGTGCTGCGCGGAGGGGTGGGCGGTCGGGTTGGAGCGCGGGCCGGGGAGGCGGCTGGGCGAGCCGGGCGAGTGGCTCTCCGGACCCCAGGCGCTCTCAGACTCTGTGTCCCCGAGCTGGGCATAGGGGAGGACGCAGAGCGGCCCTGGGCGGACCACTTCAAACTCCCACCCCGGGCCTGGGCCCCACCCCCACGCCGCCAACTCGGGGACTTGGAGTTTTAAGGTCGGTTATCTGACCAGCAGAATGGCCGACTCCAGCGGGCGGCCGAGCAAGTCCTTTTTAGTTCGGCCAGGGAGCTCTTTGATCTCATGTGACTTGCCAGGCCTTGGGGACTCCAGTTGATCTCCAGTTGACCCTCTGACTCCTTGTACCTTAAGTCCCATCGTAGAGGGTCTTAACTTTTCTAAGCCCAAATACATAACGTGATTTCTTTTTCCTTGGCGTTTTGCCTACCTTCCAGATTACTAGCCACGTGCTTCTTTAAACTTTTATGTGACTGGGCCTCAGTTCCTGGGCCTTCCCAACTTAAATTCAGCAAAAGACTTCCAGAAGTTCCAAATCACAGGAGTTGTGTGTCTATCAGGTTCTGAAGACTTAAATTGATTTTCAGGATAACACTCCAGGGAGTCCTGGAGGACTCCTCACCCTTCTTTTCCAGGTGGTGAGGAGGCTGCTTGGAAAGTTCTACTCTTCCTCATCTTTATTTCCTAGGTCCTCACCTGCAAGCGTCCTGCCCCTTCTGGTTCCAAGGGTGGGTGTGGCAAAGGGCTGAAGGCCTGTTCTGGGACTGAAGGGAGGGAGACCCCAAAGGGCAGTGAATGGCCTTTGACAGAACCCATGGAGCCATTAATAGTGTGGCCTAGCAGTCAGTTAGTCTTCAAACCCGAGGGCTGTCTTCCGTTTCCGGTTACTCTGCAAGGTTACTTCTTTGAGTCTTGGTTTTGCCTCTGTGAATTTACTGTGGTAATTATGTCTTCAGAGAGGCTTAACCAAAACATCCCTTAGCAGACTGAGAATGCTCAATAAACACTCATTTCCAGCCTTCCCTAGTCATTATTCCCTATTCCTCCTCTTCAATGCAGTGAATGAGGCTAGGAGACAGTAGCTTGTATACGCCTTTAGGCTAGGCAAGTGACTTCACTGTCGAAAAAAGAATCCCACAGCAGGTACTTTGACATGTATGGTCTTCATCCATGACCCTGACAGCATGACAAATATTGTAGGTCCAAATCTTACCAAAGTCTACTTGGTGATGGTTGGAAGAATATTTTATTATTATTCTTTTCTGTGGATGGGTTATATGTAGGGAGAAGAGGGAGCCCTGAGCTCCACCATGTCAAGAACCCCAGAGCCTCAGATCCATACAGGAATAGCAGAGTCTTCCCCTTGTCCCTTTTGATGAGGCTAAGAGTGAAATGGCAAAGCCTTCCTCTGGCCCATGTGTGAATGTGACAGTATGTGTAGAAAATGTCCTCCACAGCCCCACCTCACCCCCAAATCTGGATTAGCCGAACCTGTCTGTCTCCTTGATCCAGCTGGGTACCACAAACCCTGCCTCTGTTTGTCTGTATGTAGTAATAATAACTGTGTTCCTCTGTCCAACTCTATATAATAAATGTACTGAGCTTCTGGGTCAGACGATCTGACCCCAGCCATCGTCTGTCTGTGTGTCCGTCTGTCTTTTCATCATTCCCTTCCCACCACAGTTGGATCCAAGTCCTTACAATTGTGCATGGATGTTGCTATGGGTGTTTTACCTGCACATATGTCTGTTTCCCATGCATGTGCCTGTGTTGGGAGAGACCAGAAGAGGGGACTGGATACCCTGGAACTGGGGTTACAGACAGTTGTGAGCCACCATGTGGATTCTGGGAATTGAACCCAGGTCTTCTGAAAGATCAGCTCATGCTTGTAACTGCTGAGCCATCCCTCCAGTCCCCAGAATATTTTCCTGAGTTGCCACATGTGTAATTGAATTTGTTTTACCCCACTTGTCTCCTTGTATAACTCAGGGTGTTTCCTTGAACAGTTGAATTGCCCAAGGCGAGCTCTGTTCCTAGTCCTTGAAGGGTACAGGGTGATGGATAGGTCAGCTTGACAAGTCATCATGGCAGAAGCCATCTTTGTTTGACAGTAGATATTGTCTAGTAAAAGTGCTTTTAGTGCACCTGCCTGGTGTATTTTATTTGTGAATCATACTATTATCATTGGCTACTTTCTGAAGGTAATGAGGTATCCATTGCCCTGGATCCGTATCATCAGTGGTTTGTTTTGTTTCTAATTTTGACCACCTTGCCAGATATTTCTTTTGCATTGCAACAAGGCTGAATGGGCACCTGATGTTTTGCATTACGACTCTTTTGTTTATAATGTATCGTTACCCATGACTTGTCTGGATGGATTTTTTAAAACATCTTGTATCAATTATTCTTCTATGAGAAACCACCCAAGGCTGAATTTGCTTAAAGAGGTTTCCTTAGCTCACGACTTTGGGGCTGGCTCTGGTGAGGGAATCCTGGCAGTTAGCTTTATGCCAGGGGCCTGCATAACTGTGAGAGGAGCCAGGAATGTTCAAGGTGGGGCGGGTTGGGCATTTTAGAACACTTCTCTCCAGAGCTAACAAGGGTTCCCTGAGAACTACCCCAATCTCTTCTGGGAGTGATGCCTCAAGTGACCCGATGATCTCCCACTAGCGGCCACCTTTTAATGTGTCTGTCACCTCTTTTTGGCGAACTAGGGACTAGGTCCCCAACTCTTAAAACTGTTGGGTTACAGACCAGGACTTTTTTTCTTTTTTGAGCATGTGTTTGCTTACAGTGAGATCCTGTAATTGACGAACCTAGTTAAGCAGGCGCGCCTGCATGTAGTGTAAGTGACCCGGGAGAGAGGGGCGGGACACCGGCCCGCTTCCCAGAGTTCCGTTTGCCTTGGGACGGTCCCGCCCCACTTCCCATAGTTCTCTTTGCCTTGGGACGGCTTGTGCAACAGGCTGCGGATGGCCACTTCACACACCAGGGGCGGCAGAATTTCAACCACACCGAAACAAACAAACTGTCACTCTGGGGAGTAGCCTGGGTCCAGCATGGACATACACATCTGAGGACGATGCTGGGAAGCAGATACCACATCTAGAGCATGATTGGTTGGGCATAGGCTCTGTGGCACAGCAGAGGGAAGCTGGTGGTATGGCCAGGGCAGACCGAGCTCCAGGACCACTCCTCTCAGTTATCCAGCAGGGACTGCTTGCATCGGAGACTACAGGGACAGCGTCCCCAGAGTGGTGCCAGACACAGGAATCCTTCGCTGAGAGGAGGGGAAGGGTGGAGAAACTGCTGGTTTTGCCTTGGTAGCCCAAGGACTTCGAGAAGGCTAGTATTTGGGTGAATTGGAGAGCTGGGAGCCTAGTGGTTTACGGTTTGCATAGAGCCAAGGGCTGTATGTGGCTGGACCTAGATCAACCTGGAACCTGAAGATGTATCTGAGCTTGCTGCCCTTTCCTCTCTGTCTTCCTCTAACTATTTTGGCAACACCTTTAGCACAGGGGCTTAGTGCCAGAGTTGCGCTTCACAGCTCACCGAGCATCTGGCAAGCCTTCTGCACTGCAGCCATAGGGCAGAGTTTAGTTCATTGATTTCCTTCTTGGATTTAAATTTAATGGAGCAGAGTTTTGTGTTAATCCGCAGGGAGGTTGTGTAGGATATTTAGGATGTTTCTGCTAAGTTGTATCTGGCTTGTAAGTTTTCTTTCTTTCTTCAAAAGAGCTGGTTAAAGTTAGCTGCCTCTTGAATTAACAGTCTACTTCAACTTGATGTGGGTACAATATCCACAGCATATTAAAGCACTAGAGATTGTTAAAGATGATATATAGGGCACAACTTGCTTTTCCTACTGATTTGCTGAGCTTAAATCACACAGGATGAGTGTGACATCTTTGCCAGTGCTGGCCTCCTCTTAGAACTTCATGTTAGGATTTTGTATGATGTCACAGACAGAGAGCTTTTGATTTTTGTTTTTCTTCCCAATTTCAATTTTAAGGTCAAATTTCTATGCCCATGATGCTCCTGGAACTCATTTCTAAGCATAGCAGTATGTTAAAGGACAGGATATAACACTACCCTGGATGCTAAAGTTGTAGAAAAGTAATTCTGATTTTCAGTGATGGCAAATAGACCTGAAGCATTTTTCTAGATATTTCTTTAATTAACTTACGTCCTCATTCACAGAGCCACCAGACACGTGTGCTGTCAGGTCTCTTTGTTTTCTCCCACCATTCCTCCTGTTCCATCCCCTAAGTCTTGCCCGGAAACCCCTGCTTCCATGTCCTTTAGCCAGACTGAGCTATGGTCTGATGATTAGAAATTGTGATTGCTTGATCAGCTGTTGTGGTCTGAATGTGAAATGCCCCACCTCCCCCATAGGCTCATGTGTTCAAACACTTGGCTCCCAGCTGGTGGTGGTGCTGTTTGGGAAAGTGTGGGAACTTTAGGAGGCTGAGCCTCACTGGAGGACGTGTCACTGGGGACAGGCCTTAAGGCTCACTGGCCCTGCCCGGGATGCCCTGTGGCCTGCTGGCTTCCTGCTCCTGCCTCCACAGTGTCTCTGCTTGCTGCCATCCATGTCTTCCTTGCCAGGATGGAATGTGTCTATCTGGGACTTTAAGAAAAAACAGCCCTCTTCTCCTTTAAGTTGCTTTCCTCAGATATTTCAGTCACAGCAACAGAAAATAGAACAGCAACAGTCCCATGTTTACCTTTCAATCATCAGTACCAGAGGAACTCCTTGGGCTCCTTTGTGGACCTGGGAAAGACAGGTTGCTTTGGTTGCTCCTTCCCTGGTTCCCCAGGTCACCCAGACCAGCTGCCAGCCTACCATCTCCACCACTGCAAGAGGCTCTTCTTTCTTTCTAGGAACATGTTTACTCTGATAGGCAGCCAGCTGTTAAGTATTTAC